CCGAGTCGCTCTGCGGCGGTCATGACCCCAAAGTAGGAAAACCTCAATTGCACGAGTAGCTGATCAGGTGTTCTTGAAATATTTATCCAAATATGGAAGAATTTTAGTCTCCAAAAGCCAAACACCCTCAGTGAAAGCTAAAAAACAAGAAGCGACTAAGCTTATTTCCCGTCATCTTTTAATTGACAAGGGTATTGAGTATACGCCGCAGCAGGTCAGCAAAAAGGTTCAGAACTTGAAAGCTAAGCTTAAAGCAAAAACAGACGTCAACCGAACAGGAAATCGCAAGATCAATCTAAGCGATGGTGAAAAAATATTGGCGGATATCATGAACGCTAAAGATAATCCAGCAATAAACCCTATAAAATGTGAGATTGTTGCTCGTTGTACATATTTTTTATATCCGTTAGATGCAAATTTTATACTAGGTGGCATAGCTATTGCTAATAAAACTATTGGTTAGTCGGGTGAAGAAGATTTCCAAAAAGAGATATCCGATGAAGACAGCGTTTCTAATTCGCCTAAGGATTTTCCAACATCTTCACGTAAGCGGTCCTATCTTCAATCATCTGATGCGAAAATACCGGAAAAGGTTCGTTGACATTAGTTGTTTGCATAGATACCTCTGCCTCGATCCTTTCCATATAAACATATTTTAAAGATTCTAGAAAGGTTGGAAACTGATGAAACGAGAGGGTTGTCCAATGTGCTTCTACAAAGGCTTGTTCTATTGCGTCAATTACAAGTGTTCGCAAGAAAAGAAGAGCTCATGGAAGAACAGCTCAAGGTAGCAAAAGCTTCGCACGCAGAAATACGCTAAGGGACATTTTCTCCTGCAACCTTTAACTTTAAAGCACACCTTATATGTACATATATAAAGATTGCATTAAAATTTATAGTTGTGTCTAAAGTAAAGCATTTTATTATCGGTTTAAATTGATTTACAACCAAGAAACATACAAGTTATCACATGTGACTCAAGGCCAACAATAATAAGCGACATCCGCAAATCTCCTGAATCTGCAACATAACACCAGCCTGCAAATGCAGGGCAGCTGCATATCAAAAGCCAGCTTTGTAGCTCTAGCGTGGGAGTGAATTTGTATTATGCTGTCATAATGGTCACATATGGCTCAAGGCCAATAGTATTGAGCAACAGTCACAAATTCCCCGAATCTGCAACATAACACCAGCTTGCAGGTGCAGGGCAGTTACATAGCGAAGACCAGCTATCTAGCGTGGGAGTGAATTTATGTTATGCTCCACGCTATCATCACACTTAGCGCAGTCAGCGGCGTTCCCACCGACGATGGTCGCGACTGCAGCTTATTTATTTGTAAGTGTATTTGTAGAATTAGATTTCGATTTAAAGTAGAGTAAAATAGTTTTTCAGTTTAGTTTAGTTCGATAACTCATCCCGACTCTTGCAATGAGCGGGCAATAAATTGTGTTGAAGTCAACCAACGTGTTTATTTATTTAAAGAAGGAGGTTCCAGCAAAGCTTCATAAATCTGCTTAGATATTCCACTTGTTCGACTACCAGCACAGCATCATAAACTTGGTTAGATATTCCACTTGTTCACCACGTAAAGAAGGAGGTACCAGTGGATTTTCGTAATTTACATACGTCAAAACCGATATACAAATGCTTTACTTCAGACATAGCTATATATTTTAAAGCAACCTTTAAATATAAAGTGAGCTTTAAATTAAAGGTTAGTTGAGAAAAGGGCCGTAAGTGAATCTCTTTTTATATGATACTACATACATATGTACATACATAATCATTTTCAAGAAAACAACCAGTATTAATATATTGCAATAATAAGAAATGTGAAATTTAATTCGAAATGGAGTTTATGTAGCGCGCAATCTCATTTCTTCTCAGTATACCTCTTTTTCTTATGGTGCTATTTGCTTGATCATGGATCGGAAAGGCTAAGCCGGTTTCAAAATTGGTGGTTTCTATTGGCTCATCAAAATCAGGTTCTCTTAGATACTTCGCTACATTGTGTAAAACGAAGCACGCAACTATGATTGTAGGTATGCGATTAGTTGATATTCGAATTTTCGACTGCAAAATTGGAAATCGCCTTTTTACTTGACCGAACACGCTAAATTATAACCCGCTCTTTGCAATGAAGTTTGTTATACTCCATTTGCGAAAAGCTCGTGGTATTACGATATGGGGTCATCAGCCATGGAGTAATGGCATAGTCCTCATCGCCCAACAAAATTGCACCTGCAGGATTTTCATCTAAAAGTTCACGAACTATGAAATTTTTCCAAATTCTCGAGTCGTGCACGGATGCTGCCCATCTGCAATCAAAGCTTGTTATCTTCTCATTCGCATTACATGTAACCTGAACATTAAACGATGCTAATCCCTTTCTGTTAATGAATTCGTCCCCATGGATGCTTGGCTTTAATATTAGTACATGAGTGCAATCCAATGCTCCGATTGCATTTGGAAACTTTTAATTTTCTTTGCCATTCTGTTTTTGCCAAGTTCATTTCCTGTTCGGTTTGAGGAAACTTTATCCAATCGGATGACTTTTTTTACTATTGAACGAGAAACTTCCCAAACGGTCGTTTGGTGGATTCCAACATCTTCACTAACGCCTACCTTATAGAAAGCAGATAAATTCGGGTTAAATATGCAAATCCATTAAAGTCAATATTTACTTGGAAGCCCGGATCACCAATGTACCGCAAGAAAGTCTGCATTTTAAGCTCATTTGATAGGGCACTACCTCTGGTCTCGTGATTTTCTGGCAAGAAATTAGATGAAAGCCAATGTACATTCTCCCGCGAAAACCGATAAAGCGTCCGATATGTTAAATCTTCCCCAGTTCGTCTCTTTTTGAAAGTCTTCTTTCTATTTTCAAGATTCAGGAACATCGCCATGATATGGAATAAAAACGATGTCTAAGTTTACCCACACTTAAAAATCAAATAGCGAACACTTATTTTTTCAAGTGATTACAATTTTTATGCATATCAATTACAAGCATATACTTTTTCGAAATTGAGGTAGTAAACTCAAGTAGTGATTACTATACAGCGCATTGCTTTTATGCATACCGATTTTGAAAATTTAAAGTGATTGCTATTGAAAATAGTGTTCATTAGTTTTATGCATATGACCCAATGTGTACATATTACATATTTCGACCTATGCATGCATTTATTTTAAGTAATTAACCAATTTAAAGAACAATAAAAGCGTTGTAAAACGTAAAAAGCCGTCAGCATTTCGCTGTCTAACAAGAAAAACATGCATTTGCTTTAATGAGACAATTTCTGTTGAATTTATTTTGCCTCTGGCTGGGCTCTGTTAAAATTCGTTTGTCTCTGGCTGGCCGCTCTTAAAATGCGCTTCGCCAGTTTTGTTGGTATTTGACAATTTCCACGCTGATTCGTTCTTGGTCCTTCTCTATACATTACGTTCTCTGGCTCCACTTTGTCTAGTGCACAGTTTTTCACCAATTGGTCCCCGAGGAGTGGGTTGTGTGCAGCGTTTTCGTTTTGCGCGCACGCCAACACTAACTGTGGGGAATTTCGCCTCATAATTAGAAAAAGTTCTTTTCAAGGATAAAATATATGTAATTATGTGTTATTTACGAACAAAATGTAGGCGAAGTATAATATTAATGCTTAATTAAGAATAATGTCCATAGTTAAGTACATAATTAACGCTTGTGTTTCTATAAACAGGAAAACTCGAATCGTAGTTATAGCACTCAATGGAGTTCTCTTAAATGTAGATTTAAAATTTAAAAAATATTCATTGTAAAATTATATTTTTATGAAAAAACGTAAATTTTGTGAATTTATCAAGTAAAATTTTAAAATTCCGAATATATTTATATATTTATTCCAAAAAAAAAAACGAGTGTGGTATGGTTATAGAGACTCTAATTCCTGCCAGCGCATCCGCCCAGACAGCTTATTAAGTACACCCAAGTTTGAGTGACCACACATACAATAGTAATTGCTACCGTATAAATTCAGGACATGCGTTTGCTTGGAAACTCCGTTAGTTAGCTGGTCATAACTTCAACCAGCACATTCAATGGTCCATTACCCGGAGCTGCTCCAACATGATGAGCAGATTTAAATGAGTCTCACATGCTACTGCATCTGGCTACAAGCTGGATATGAAATTCACTACTCGTCAAAGAATGTGCATTTTTACGTAAATTTGGTTTAAGTATCAGCGAACTGTGATGATCTGTATTAGTATCTATATTAATAGAGAATAATTTGCAATTTTTTACACTTTCGTAATTAACTTCGGTCACTATTATACAGTCATGTCTTGTGCCACTCTGCCATAGTAAGGTTATTGCCCCCTTTCATACCACAGTAATTTTGTATACAACTCTGAATCAACAAATTTCATGCTCCTTCTCATTATCAACCCCGAGCAGATTTTACACCCGAGGAGTACTCAAAAAGGTTTGTTACTGTATATACTGTGGTCAAGTGCACTTGCACTACACTTTGTAAAACAGCCAAAGGCTGGCATTCTATTGCACTTCTTTGTTATTGCTTACTCAGATACAAGTCGTCAGTGATACTGCAAAACGTTCATCGACATCAACGAAATGAAGACACCTTCGTCATTAGGAAAGTTTTGCAGTATTACCGACGATATGACCACAAGTAGGTACATATTTATTCGCGGCTGAACAACCGTGTTTCTTAATATGTATTTAAAGAATAAAACTCACCGAACAATGTTGGTAGCTGAATATTAAGCTATTGGCGCCGTGGAAGGTGCTGACGGGTTCAAAGTTCTGATGGCGTCAATATTCTGATTGCGCCCAAGATTCTGATGGCGAGGAAAGTGCTGTGTGCGTCCAAGGTGTTGATAACGTTGAAGGGTGCAATCAAAAAGAAAAAACTATATTATTATCAAATAAAATTGTTAACAAAGTATTCTTACCTCCAAACGTGCTATGTGCGTCCAAGGTGTTGTTGGCGTTGAAGGTGCGCAATCAAAAAGAATAAATTATATTATTATCAAATAAAATTGTTAGCTCCAAAAGTGCTGTGTGCGTCCAAGCTGTTCATGGCGTTGAAGGTGCGCAATCAAAAAGACGAAATTATATTTTTATCAAATAAAATTGTTTACAAAGTATTCTTACCTCCAAAAATTTCCGCAAAAGTGACGCTTTTCTTTGAAGCCTACTGTCATCAAACTTCAAATTCGCTGTCAAATTTCGCCTGACCTTCACTTGCTCGCTCTAACGCATGGAATTTTTATTAAGAGTACGAATTCTTATTAGCTACGCTGCTCTAACTTAAGTACTTTTTTTGGACTAATTTTAAGTGTGTGGGTGAGATGACTAAAAAGTTTTGAATGTGTTTGTAAATTGTTTGAATTTCAGGGGAAATTGGTTAGCCGTGGTTTGCAGGGTTGCAACGAATCCCTTAGGGCTTACTGCGCGTTTAGATTAGACAATGCTGTCAAGACAATAAAGAAATACGTATTACTTGACTAAAACGCTGATAATTGTCTCCTTGGCGTAGGCGTCCTGACAATAGTTATGACAATTCATTTTGACCAAAATGTCCGACGTGAACATTGTATTATAATACAACAATTTTTACGTCTTGTGAAAAAAAGAAGAGAAGTTCATAACAAAAGAACTATAATAATACAAGAGACGCTGATGTATATGTAACTTTGTCTCTTCTTTATTATATTTTAGGTTTTAGCTTAAATAGCTCGCGAGAAATGCGTTTTATAATACAACGTTACTTTTCCACATGTCTCAATCACAGTCTTGAATATTTTTAATACGGTAAATCGGACAATGATTTGATGTACGCAGACAATAATTTTGACGTCTTGTC